TAACTTGAGTACTTCAGTAACAGCACTTCTATAACTATTTTAAGACAGAACCTAACAAAGTAGTTTTGTTGTCTAAACCTAACTGAGTAAACGGAACTTTATTTTGAAAAGACTGCACGTATGTAACTGAGTTTGTTCTCAAACACAAGGTGTGAAATGTAAGTTCACCTCATCTCATAGGTCGGGTTAGTTGTAGCATAGCCTGGGCTGTAACAATATGACAAGATATGAAATATGAAAGGATTATGAGAAGAACTCAAGATATTGAACGCTTTTAAATGATATTGTTAACATTACTTTGCACACAATCAAAATGAAGGAAGTCGAGGCTGAAGGTTTTGGTGTCTTTAAACCTTCCTGTAATTGCTGGATGGTTGTGAACATTGTTGTGTTATAAAGAAAGATGGAGGCTGTTTATTTCGTATTATAACAGACGCTGCAATTAATGAGAGACATTTGAGTAGAGCAGCTTTAATATGAGACACAGAAAGAACACAACATTTCCTTCTGTCTGCATTGATCAGCCTTTCATGAGTAGAGAATGTGTGCGTATGCTTCGGTAGAGCAGAATGATACCTCTCAACAATAGGTGTCTCTGCAGAGGCGCTCTCTAAAGCCTGCATGCCTGAAGCTAAATGGGAGCTGGAGAGTCTGGTGTGAATCAATAAAAGCCATCAAACACCTGAGGGGTCCCCCAATTTTACCACAAACCACTCCACCCCCTGGGCAGGCGGAAACAATGGCAGGGCATCAATACCTGCAATTGGGAGAAGGTGGGGCAGGAGACAGCGAGCAAACCATACAAGTGGGTCACCTCTCCTCCAGACAGCAAATGAGCGCGCAATCGTTTGCATCAATTCAGTCCAGTGGGAGCTGGAGGACAGGGGGGGAAGGGGTGCCATTAGAAGTATGTTGGTATAGAAGGTGGGCGCCGGACAAGAAGGGGTGTGGAGGTTTTTAGAGCAGGTAGAGATGGACACACAGGGGGATATAGCTGTTTTCAATTACCCACAAATTCAGAGCAATTTCCACCTCTTTCTGACCACCCCCCCCACTGCGAGGCTGATGGGAGCCCTGAACAAGAGGCGTGGAGATCGCGATTGTTTGACTGCGCGTTGGTGGGGAGGAGCAGTAGGAGGTCGGGTTTCATCCGTCTGCTTTGTTCAACCTTTCTCTGTCACCTTGCAGCTTTTATTGGAGCGTTCTTTTTTGTGCAAAGGGGAGGAACTTCAAAGTGCATTTCAACTTTTGTGTAGATGTTGATAAGCCACTTCCTCAGAGCGAGAGATAGATAACACACACACACACACACACACACACACTCACACACTGCATTGTTCCATCCAGCAGAATAAGACCGTGCTTGTACTGTAGTTGAGTTTGCTCTGTGGTGATGCACACCTCGTCTCACTGATCCAGTTGAAAGCTCTCTATGGCTCTTCCATTCGCATTGTGTTTTTCTATTAGCAGAGAGGTTTGTAATGCTTTACATTCAATTATTGCAGATACGTGTGTGTGTGTGTGTGTGTGTGTGTGTGTGTGTGTGTGTGTGTGTGTGTGTGTGGTGTCTGACTAAAACACCTCAGCAGGCATGAAAATGAGAGAAAAGGAACCATTGTATTCATTAGAAGGAAGGGGGGGGGGGGGGGGGGGGGGGGGGGGGGATGGGGGGGGGGGGTGAACCACAGCGTCCTGTCCGGCCCTTATCAACTCTTCTTTGTTGTCAGAAACATCCTCTGACCTGAAATATATAAATCAACTCAGGACCCCAAATTAAATAATTGTAAAGTTGTTGTTTGGAAGAGCTATCATTGTTCCAGAATAGAAATACAGCTGTATTCATTGTTGACTAATCTTACTTTATTAATCCATGAATCATTTAATACAATGTCAGTTGAAGCATTCAAACAGCTTGTTTTGTCCAAAACACAAAGCTTCTTCTTTAGTTTAGTTATAAGAGAAAAATAAAATGAGTCAATATTCTCAATATTCACAGTGAGAAGCTTGAAACTGAGCCTTTCAATGATTAATCAGCGATCAGGAATAATGAAGCTGCAATGGGGCTCAACATGGGCTCAACAGTTGTCTTTGTGCAGACATTCATGGTTCCCAGATGATTCATCCTGCTGGATTTGTAGATACCCTGAATTGTCCTCTAGTGCCTCCACGAGGTGGACATTTGGGGGTTTTATTCAAATGCCTCAACGACCATTGACTGGATTGTCATTAAATTAGGGACACACATGTATGTCTCCCAAATAATCATTCGGTCAAAATTCCAATTTGTCCAAGCCTTTGGTTACGACAAAATATTCTCCTCATGCTAACATGCTAAACTAAGAACATGATGAACATCGTAAAGATTGCACCTGCTAAACATCACCATGTTAGTTCTGACCATTGGAGCATGTTAACATCAAGGTCCTCCTTTTAGAAAAGCGTGTCGTCCAAATGAAGCAAGACGGACAAAGAACAGAAAGGAAACAACCTCTTTCACAGCACGGCCTGTCGGTCCGATGGTCCTGTTCTGAACAGATATATGGAGAGAAATCCAGCAGCATCATAAAACTCTGTTTGCTTTCATGAGTTTGTCCTTTAACTTTCTTCAAGGAACTTTACACTTTTACTCAATCCATCTCAAAAAGTCAACCATTTTAAAAGTTCAACCTCCTCAATGGTAAGTTTAAAGGTTAAAGTTAATTACTGGGACACATTTCAGATTTCAGTTTAGTTAAAAACTAAACGGAAGTTCAACGAGAGATTTAAATATTGAAACTTTCTTAATTTTAAGCTAGTTTTAAAGTCACATTATTCAAAGTTAAATGATGAAAATGCTCCATGGAGCGTAGTGGCCACCATGCATTACATCATGTTTCCTATTATTCCTGCACCTTGCTCTGCGATGCAACCGTCTACACATCAAGACCCGCTCTGCAGGAGACAGGAAGTCCTCCCCGCTTGCAGATGTTGCCACATGAACATGTGAGAGGCCTGATAGGAGCCTCGATCAACATGTCACTTCCCCTGCTCCCTGGCTCAGCAATGACACACAAGTAGGTAGCCATTTTACACACACACACACACACACACACACACACACACACACACACACACACACGCTGATAGTACATGGAAAGGTGAATGTGTGTGTGTGTGTGTGTGCCTGCAGGGATGGGTGGGGAGGGATCTTTCCGGATGGTTAGCCTTATCTTCCCTCCCATGCACATTCACAATGTATGCTGCACCAGATGGCCAGAGAACACAGAGCTGCTGATGGTCCCACTTGATCATGTCTTCGCGCCGCTATAAATCAATATATTAACAACGTACATAAATGCTATACGCAGAGCAGCTGATTGATCCCTATGTGAAGCATAAAGCCATTTCATAAAAGGAGAGCAAACACTTAAAGGACCGTGAAGATCTGCTCATGTGTGCCTGAGTGTTAGTCACAGTTCTCACAGTCAGCATCCACACATGAATATATGTACTCAATGCTTCCTCATGTTTATCTACATATATGTCTGAGTCTACAGAGAGGTACGATTACTGATGAGCATGTGGTTCATTGTAAACAAGTGGTTATGAGTTCAAATCCAAGGAAGAGCTATCAGACACACACACACACACACACACACACACACACACACACACACACACACACAGAGGCAGTGTGTCTCAGTAATGCATTACTGCTCCCTTGTGGTGAAAGACACGTCTGGCTGCACTTTTAAAGGATGCGTTCACCCAAATAAGAAACAGAACATCTCTTTGTCTTCACTTCATCTTCATCCAGATAGTTTAACTTTGTTTTGTTAATTCTTTGAACATCTGTCTCTGGATTCCTGCCTCCACATCAATACAACGGAGGCGAAGGGCATTTTGTTTGTAGCACACACAGCATTGAAAAATTATATTTTATTTGAAAATGTCCTATAACAGGATTGAAGGGCAGTCCAGCGTAAGTAGGAAAAGGCAGAGACTACCATTCACTTGGAGCGTCCATTGCTGTGTGACGGGGCAGATGGACTTCCCTCCAGTTCGCAACTCTGAGTTTGAGTTGCTTTCCATTTCCTAGTAGCTTGGAAATGTTCCAGTTCCGAGGTGTCTGGAGCGCAATATAAGTCATGACAGTGTGACATTCCTGCCAATAGCTGACAGTAGAGAACCATCACACACACGCATGTAAGCATGTGTGTGTGTGATGCCTTCACTGGTTACCAGTGATTGTTGCCCTCTCTCTGGCTGGCTCTCTGTTGACTTGGTCCCCTAATGTTTCTTTTTTTAAATATTGTCTTATTATTCAATGATTCATATTGCTGTAAATTGTCTGTATGATCGTTTGCACTAGTATAACTAGAGGTGGAGCTATGGAGAAGAAGAGAGCTGCACACAATGTTCACAGTGACTACAGCGCTTACGTTTAAAAAAATCATCGAGATTATTTCTTTGTTAGAAAGAAGTTCCAACAAAAACTGAAACAGACATCTCTATGAGGACCAATACAACCAAAACATGTCTGCCTAACGGGAAGAGAGAATGTTCTTACTACGGGTGGGCTGATCCGTTAAAACCTCATTTATATCCCAAGATGTTTAAAGACTCCCAGTGAAATTATTCCAGAGAATAAGCTCATCGGGTGCTGTGTCAGCAAAATGATCATTTTTGTTTCCAGCTCACAATTGCAAGATCAGATTAGAAGTGCTGCATCAGCTGAATGTTGAGAAGACAAACACAATGAATTAAAGGAAACAGAAAGATCACAGTCATGTTCCTGTGCATTCTTCATGTACATGATGTGAACAGCTCACAGAACACTGTAACAGATCAACATCACACACTGCCGTGGAGTGTGTGAGCGCTGACCTGCTTCTCCTCTGTGCTCTTCAGCCCTTCCTCTGGTGCTGGAATGGGGCTGTGTATCAGGGCGGCCATGATTGTGCATACGAGGCTGGAGATGAGTGTCAGTTTCCAACGAGGCTCTATATTTAGCCCGGGGACCGGGTGACCACTCTGACTGCAACGCGTACAGACACACTTCTCTGGACCTCGACACTCTTTCACCTTCTTTCCTCCGGTGTATGTTGAGGACGAGGTGAGTTATGAATACTTGATTTCTCCATTGCAGTATCCATGTTTATTCCCCTCTTCTCTATACTGTGATTTGTTTTATTTATTTCACATCTACAGCATCCCCACAGCAGCGTGAAAGGCTGAAGGGTTATGCTGCTCGGCAATGGTGCTGTCGTCTGCGTCCTACTGACAAGCCATCTCAGTGGCTATTGAAGCGACCATGTGTCAGTCGGAGGAGCCGGGGGCCAGACTGGGCCTGAACAGTCCTGACCTGCTGGTAAGAGAGGCTTTTCTGATGGCCCATGACTACATAGACTATGTAACCTCGGGGGGGGCAGATGGCTCCATGGGTCCCGCCCCTACAGCCTGCACCGCAGCCCTGCGCCACGCCGGAGACGAGCTCCTCACCCGCTTCCCCATCTTCTTCAGGCGCTGGCCGCGTGTCTTCCAGGATGTGACGGAGGACACGGCCTGCCCCACGCTCCTGAGCATCCTGGACGAGCACTTCTTCGCCCCTGTCCCTGGGGGGCGGCGCAGGGACCTGGCCTGGAGCGCAGTGTTATCGGTTTATGTGCTGGCTGGCCAGATGGCTCTGCATTGCCATGAGAGGGACATGGTGGTGGTCCTGCCACAGCTGAAGGACCGCGTGGGGGCCTATGTGGAGAGCGTCATCTGCCCTGAGATACGAGACAAGGGAGGATGGGTGAGATACAACACGCTGATTCTCTTGACTTCATATAGCGACAGCACTTAACCATGTGCAACCATTATTTTACTTCAGAGATTTTTAGGTAAGTAACCGAAACCCCTGCAACCCTGCTCCATCATGTCAAACGGCGAAACCCAGTTCTCTTAAGGGGGCAGAGGTTTAGATTGCACTGCCAAACATATCAGAGGCACGTGAGAGACAGATTATGTCCGTTTTGCCTCCTACACTTCCCATAGTGCAACTTGGTAGCATCTTTCATCAGAGCCTGGTGAAAGCCCACTTCTTTGTGCTCCCCATGGCCCAGTTGTCGAGCAGAGGGAACTCTCACTGAAGAGTCAAAGGACACGATACAACTGTGTGTTCTTCTCCTGACTAGCAAATTCACTTCCTCAAACACCATTTCCGCTCTGTTCATTTTGACAGAGCGGAAATGATTTTGACTGAGTTTGTGAAATTCAGGATTGCACATAAACAATTCCTCTTTCCATATTTGTTCAATCACAGCCCTCTCAGGATCAGCGGTTATAGCAGGTTTGTTCTGGTCAGATCCCCCCACATTTGGACATAAGTAGTTTGTAACATTGCCAGAGCTGGATTTCTTTTGACCCCCAGAGCATCCATCAGGGACAATGCATGCTGATGCATATTTAAGAATGTGCATCAGCAGCAGAACAATAAAAGTAGAATTAGACTTGAGATATGTTCCCTTCAATTATTCAAAATACCATAATCTAACTCAGTGAACTTTGGGCTTTTGTGCAACACAAGTTGTCTCGAAAGTGAGCAATATTTTCAAAGACTAACAAATTTAATTATTCACATGCACAATTATAACTTCAAAATCAATAGTTTCTTTTGTCTTCCCTAAAGGATATGAGAACTCTCCCCAGAATCTACTGGTGTATCCTTTGAACACACCATTGTGCTGAGATGTGTCCTCTAATCATCTCTTTTGTTTGACAGAGTGGTTTTGTGTCACGCTTTGGAGAGAAGCAGGGCCTGGAAGGCCAGGTGAAGAAGGTGTGCAGTTGGACACTGCTGGCTTTGGCTATAAGCATCCTCACCTACTGCCTGTGGAAAAGAATGGTTTAGCCAACACTGCCACCTAGGGGCCACAATCAGAACGCCTCACAGAGCTTTCTGACAAATGAAAATGTCTGCAGAGGTATTTTACAGTGCATCTTAATTCTGTAGAAATGTATCAGTGAATGACAGATTAAAATCTGTATAATTCACATCGACAGCATACTTAATGTGTTCATGTATAAACCTGTGGTGGCCTCTGGTCAACAGCATTTTAAGGAACACGCTGAAGCAGATGAACTTTGATCTGTTCAGGACTGCAGGTACACATGAATTCAGTTCAGATTACAGAGCAGACTGGAATGTACTGCATGTGTGAAATAATACTTGAGATCCACTAATCATCCATTTCCACACCTTTCACAGCACAAACATTTAGAATACAAGTTTCTCATTGATATGCCAAGCTGATGTATATGGGTCAAATGATTCATTTCAGTAATTCACACCTACATCTGTTGTATGAAAAATTAAAAATAGCTTCACTATGTGGTGCATCTGCTAAGACAAAACCTCAACTACCATCATCATATACCAAGTCATTAACCAGCAAGGCAGATTTCAAATAAGCAGAAGAACTTTTATTAACATCAACAGCAGACAGAACACTGAAAACTGGAAAGAACTCTTCAGATCATTGCAGTGAATTGTAATGTACCGACAGCAGAGCTTTGGACGAGCACTACATTTAGGCCAGCTCCTCCTCACCCTCCTCATCAAACTCTCCCTCCTCCTCAGCAGTGGCGTCCTGGTACTGCTGGTATTCAGACACCAGGTCGTTCATGTTGCTCTCTGCCTCGGTGAACTCCATCTCATCCATGCCCTCGCCGGTGTACCAGTGGAGGAAAGCTTTGCGCCTGAACATGGCTGTGAACTGCTCAGAGATGCGCTTGAACAGCTCCTGGATGGCTGTGCTGTTGCCGATGAAGGTGGCAGCCATCTTGAGGCCACGGGGAGGAATGTCGCAGACTGCGGTCTTGACGTTGTTGGGGATCCATTCAACAAAGTAGCTGCTGTTCTTGTTCTGCACATTCAGCATCTGCTCATCAACCTCCTTCATAGACATTCGGCCACGGAAGATGGCAGCCACTGTCAGGTAGCGGCCGTGACGTGGATCGCAGGCAGCCATCATGTTCTTGGCGTCGAACATCTGCTGGGTGAGCTCTGGCACAGTGAGAGACCTGTACTGCTGGCTACCTCGGCTTGTGAGGGGAGCAAAGCCTGGCATGAAGAAGTGCAGGCGGGGGAATGGCACCATGTTGACAGCGAGCTTTCGCAGGTCAGCGTTGAGCTGCCCAGGGAACCGGAGGCAGGTGGTGACGCCGCTCATAGTGGCAGAGACCAGGTGGTTGAGGTCTCCATATGAGGGGGTTGTAAGTTTGAGGGTACGGAAACAGATGTCATACAGGGCCTCATTGTCGATGCAATAGGTCTCGTCTGTGTTTTCCACAAGCTGGTGGACTGATAATGTTGCGTTGTAGGGCTCAACAACTGTGTCTGATACTTTGGGGGAAGGCACCACACTGAAGGTGTTCATGATGCGGTCGGGGTACTCTTCACGGATCTTGCTGATGAGCAGGGTGCCCATACCAGATCCTGTACCGCCACCCAAGGAGTGAGTGAGCTGGAAGCCCTGAAGGCAGTCGCAGCTCTCTGCCTCCTTCCTCACCACATCCAGGACAGAGTCCACCAGCTCTGCACCCTCCGTGTAGTGACCCTTGGCCCAGTTGTTGCCAGCACCACTCTGGCCTGTAAGAGAGGAATAAAAAACGGTTAAGCACCAAACACTCAGGGTGCATCATAATTAGCAGCTGAACTTTTAAGACAAATTATTTTTTTTTTTTAATTAAAAAAAAAAAAAAAAAAAAAGTACCGAAGACAAAGTTGTCTGGTCTAAAGATCTGGCCAAACGGTCCAGACCTCACAGAGTCCATGGTTCCTGGCTCCAGATCAACCAGCACAGCACGGGGCACATATTTACCACCTTAAAAACAAAACAAAAAAAAACCAGTCAGAGGTGAGAAAATAAATAAATATACACACGTCTAGATAATGCTATTCAAAATGAGGGCAGCTTTAAAACATACCCGATGCTTCATTGTAGTAGACGTTGATTCTGTCCAGCTGCAGGTCACTGTCGCCGTGGTATGTTCCAGTTGGGTCAATGCCGTGCTCGTCACTGATCACCTCCCAAAACTGTAACAAAGAATGCAAACCTTTGTAAGCCGTTAACACATCACTGAGCGACGTACAACCATTTTAAGTTAAAGCTGCATTTCCCGCCGTGCTGGCTTCAGCGCGCGCGGCCTGGCCCCCTAATGGCTGCGACTCGATAGTTATAAATTTGAAAATGTCTACTACGTCACTAACCGCCAAGACCGCCTACTTCAGGGAAAAGCCGGGCGCCGTTCAACCGGCATCGTTAAGAAGGCCTCAAAGAGTCGGCAACCGTTACTAAACCATCCCTGAACAAAGGGTGGGACCCGACGGTCCGTCTTCAGAATTATACCTTTCATACCGTTATTGTAATAAAACATTACGGTTCGATGCTGTTCTCTTATCATCGGAAAAGCTCACTTCCTTTTTTCGCAATGCAGCAAGTTTGCCGAGCGACAAAAACTGATTTTAAACTAACGTTAATTTGTCTACGTAAATCACGTTGGTATTATATGAATTTAGCTAGATAGTTTAAGTATTTACGTGTTTGCTACCAAAGACGGCATAATTATTTAGAAATGCCAAAATGAGTTTAAAGTGTTTTTATTCGTATATACTGATATACAGATTACGGCCCTAAAGACGACCCAACCAGATATTGGTTTAAAATTAGCTTTCAACGGCAATTTTCCCGAGTAGGACACATCGCTATTCCCAGGGTGTGGTTTCTGGAACGCGATAAACACAAAGAAAGGGCTCCTAGAACAAGGAGGTCTTATATAAAACTACTCAATTTTGAACTCAAACGGTAAATACGGTTTTACTAACCTTTGCACCAATCTGGTTTCCGCACTGGCCGGCTTGAAGATGTACAATTTCCCTCATTTTGCTTTCCGGAGGTAAAGTTCGACTCTTTCAATGGACGACTTTGTCTTTCTTTATGTGCTGTGCTAAACGGCTCGACTTTCTACTTTATAGTAGCGCAAGACCCGCCCTTTACGTCTCAACTCGAATGTGTATTGGCTGGTTTGCGCGAGCGTCATTCACAGACACAAATTTAAACCAATCAAATAGTCAAATACTTGTCCACAATTGGTCTAATCTGCCTGTCAATCACATTCATCTGGAACGTGTGACTAACGTCTAATCTGTAGACGTTGGCCTGCCTGCTTCCCTCATGATGGCGGAAGAGAAATGCCGCACTGACGACAGCTTTTATTCTGCGACTCACAGCCTAACGGTGGCGTCTGAGGAAGAGAGTGAAACATTTACTTCTGCCAATAAACGGAACTTATTTAGATTTGATCAATTCTAAAACAGTAGCATTACTGTGATCTGACTGCTAGATAGCCGCAGTCCACGTGGCTGACTAAGTGAACACAATGGTCCAGTATAGCAGAAGTTTCGCTAACGGAAACTGTCGCAACACAGCTGGACGTGACTGGCGTGGCTACAACCATGATGTTGTCATGTGCCTCTTAAGGCCAAGGAGTCTACAGTTTTTCATTCTAGCTAAGCACGACAGCAGCTCATTTCACGTGTTAGTTCACCTTTCTCTGCCTGGATTTGTGGTGATGAGGTGATGTACAGTTTGTTTGGAATGAAGAGCTGCCTTCTTGGCCTTGATTGTGCATGATTGAATCCCCCAGGCAGTAACATTTTTACAGAAACGGTTACACATTTCTGTGGAGATATGTCAAAGTCGAGACAATCATAGACACACTGAGGAACATTGAACACAGTGAATAGTAGGCCGTCGACTTTAAGACGATTTCCAAGGCAGGCACACAAAAGGACCCCTGCAGTGCCCTGATAGATATGGTGGTATTGATCTTGTGTGATAATGATGTGCCAATGCAGCAGACAGATTTGATGAACTGATTAAAGAAAGAAGAATCATTTTACTCTGGATGTGCATTACACCACACCTCCATAGACCAGAAGAGCTCTCCTCCCGTCTCAACGCCTCGCTGTCAGACTCCCCTTTATAGGCTGCCACACAGCATCTTGCAGATCCCTGGTTGATTCTTAATATAAGGTATGCAACTATTAGCATTCTGCTTGAATGTAAGGTTTAAACACAACACTCTACAGAAGCTTGCTCAGACACAGATGACGGTCTGTGTTTGTACTGTATTGTCTGCTGTAAAGCAGAGTTATTGGATGAGGGCTGATGGTTTATTAAGAGTTCATCTGAATGGCATGGACCTCTGTGCCTTAGTACAGGCTTTATATAAGCAGCCTAGCACAATATGCATACCATACATTTCTATGTAGATTAGTTCTTAAGAATCAGAAATACTTTATTGATCCACAGGGGAAATTGTTACATCATTGTTCTTACATAGAAGCATAAGACAATAGAAAACAATAGAAATGATGACTGTTACATAACGAAAAGGAACAGTGTAGATGCAGTTTTAATGGCAGAGAATTACACAGTTGAATTATTGTAAAATTTATTGTACAGTTTAGTGCAGACTGCAGAATATTTAAGACTTTCTGGAGGCGTATGAATAGTAATTCATTCAGTGGGTCTCATTAAATACAAATAATGTTATTATGAATTAGTTTTCACACAGCGTGGGCCGAGATGTTTTTACAGAAACACTGCTATGCTTATCATATCATACAGTATGTAGGTCGCGCTCATAGTCTCTTCTGTGTGTGCATTGTAATCTGACACACAGAGGCCTCGTCTGTTTGCTCCATGACGGTGCTGTGTCACAGATGAGTCAGGATACAAGCAGCTACCAGCTACTCTGTGCTGTATAGCGCTGTGCCCCTCTCTAGACACGGCCATATTGTTGTCAAGTGCTTGCTTTTGGCAACATGCAGACATTTGGGCAGACTGACTTCGAGGTGCTGAGCTCTGGTACCTTGCAATGTAATCGGTCATCCTCATGCCTTTGGGTGATTTGACAAAACTATTGTGCAACAGTAGGGTTACAAGTTAGAACCCTGATAGTACTGTGATGTAGTGGGTCAGGACGCTCACAGCCCCAAACGACATTCGCCACAGGCTCAAAGGGTGCTGCTCTGCCACTGGAGTTTACACAGTGCAACCATCCACCAAGTAATTCCTTAAATCAGCGCAGCTTAAAAGAAACAGAAATACATGTTCAGTGAATGTTTTGCATATACGTTCGATAGAACAGTTTCCTCGTAATGCAGCCATGGAGGCCTTAAACAAAGGCTACAGCAGCTTGATTGAAGGGGGACATCTACCAGCATTATCAACGTTGTTAGCTAATGTTACCACACTATTAGCACATTGGTTAAAACTGTTCCTGTTTATATTTGTTAGGTACAAAATTCTTGTTTTTCTTCTTTTCTTGGAAGTCTGAGATCTGCTCGTATCTAAACAATGTCAAAAGACTGTCTTGGCATATATTTGAATTGATCTGTCCAGGTTTCTTCTTATGACTCACTCCACATGAACATATGTGGACACCCAAATATTACACACAAAGGAGAGTATTGCGTAATGTAATGGTAATTTTTTTACATAGTATATATTTCTACTTACTTAATATATATTTCTTCTCATTATATTGTATTCATGCGTAAGTAATTTTGCTCTGAACTTTGTTGAACTTCACCGTGTCTCTGTTGTGCAGAAGAAGAGTTCTCCCTCTCTGTTCACAAAGATAACTAACTGTGTTGTATGAGGATGTTCCAGCACCAAGGCCTTTGGGCCGATTGCTTTGGTTGCTGACCGTTTGTTTTTGAATGTTGTTCCTATCAGTCTCAGACCAAAAGTCTGAGGCTGAAATGTGTGTAACACTGGCCATCAGCCCCCACCGTTGCTCATTCTGTATAGAGAAAGCTTGTTCACTTTTTTCTTGGTTCTTCCTCACTGAGACTGAACGCATTCTGTTGTGATGATTGAACCTTCTCTCCGCAGAGAATAAATACTTAAAAGACAAACTGGCTTTTGGTATTATGTATTTCAGCATGAAGAGACTCAGGAATTTTATCCACAACAGTATTAATATGTTGCTTCTACTCAGCGTTCCAGTTCATCCAAAAGGTGTTGGATGGGGTTGAGGTCAGTTCTGTGTGGGCCAGTTAGTTTCTTCCACACCGAACTGGGAGATCCATTTCTTTATGGACCGGGTCCCCAAACTGCTGCCTCATAGTTGGAAACATGCTACTGTCTAAAATATCATTGTATGCTGTACTATTGGATTTCCTTTTCTTGGTGGGAAATGTAACCCAAACCTCTTTTGTATAGAGGAAACACTAAATTTAAACATTTTTAAGATCTGCCCCATTCAGTTTTTATAAAGTGCTGTGGGCTCATATTTCTAGAAATGTGGGGTCTTTATAATAACACGAGTAGGAGTATACCGAAGAGGTGTACAGCCTAGCTGCATAACCAATACCCCCTCCCAGTGCGAGTGAAGCACTGGAAGAACGGCTTGTTCAACAACCTCTGACCTAGGTAATAAACGCACCCCCCAAAATCATGCGAGACCGTCTCAGCCTGCTTAGGGAGGCGAAAGCCAGGATAACTTAATACCACTAGCCACCGTCAGGGCAATCGATTAATCAATTGGTGTATCAATTATTTTAATAGCGAAATAGAGAGTTTTTAGGGTGTAGTGTGTCTCGGACATTCTTGGTGGATACCTAAACAATACGTTCTAAAATTAAACACATAATACACATTTTGGACTTTTGAACCTGATTCTGATCATTTTTACTACAAGGTTGCTTTGAGGATGCTCTAAGAAGTGTCGTCCTCTGAGTATCATCATCAAGTCAAAAATGTAATTTGTCTAGTTTGTTTTATGACCGAATACCTGCCAAACAAACGAAATATCATCAGCATAAGCTGTGCTTTTTGTGTATAGGCCTACTGCAAATTTAAGCAAATGTTTGCATACAAAAAGCAAAAGCATTGTCACTGTGGGCATATTAGCCAAGTAGCCATCTCGGAATTTGGTTATTAAGTGCATTTTACAACTTTTAGGGCCTAATGATTGAAGCAAAGGCCGTATAAGTGTTCCTACGGCGATTCACCTAAAAAAAATGCTTATTTGCAGACTTACCTTTCCCAATGGAAGTCTATGGGAAAACGTTTTTTGGGGTTTAATGACATCATGTGATGGACCAGGAAGTTGTAATTATACTGTTTGGCCACCATGTCAAATTCTTCTGCTTCAGAGCCCGGTGCACTTCCTGGGGCCTTGATATTAGCATGCCGTTAGCATGTAGCTCACAGTGCAGATCCTCACAGAGCTGCTCGTGTGGCTGTATGACTGCATGACTCTGAGCCTTGTTGAGAATACATTGGACTGTTTTAGGCACTGAGCTATAGATGGAATGAAGTTAGCAGTCTTTTTCTTGAAATAAAAAAAGTAAGCTAAATGCTAAATGTATAAATAAAATGGAACATTTTGTGATTTAACAGAATTTAGCACATTTAACACATTTTTGGGTGAGTTTTCTGCTGGGGAATTATCGCAGTACTCATGAAGTCCTCCTAGTTGCAGCTGTGCATAGATGACTTGACTACGCTGTGTAACATGTTAGCTAATACTGCAGACAATGTGTTACAGACAGCCTTGGGACAATGTGGATCCTCTCTTTGATCTCAGTCAGTTGGGTTTCCCTTCAGCCTGCTGCCTTTGAGCTTTTACTCATCTATTATTCATTCATCTCTTTCTCTGGGTCCATGCAATGCATTGAGTGGTTTGTGGTGACAGCTCAGCTGGAGCTTAATGCATGAGAAACCTTTCAGTGCACTGGAAGAAGATTTTGCTGTTTGATGCTTTGTATGAGTACAGTACCTCCTGATGAAGCACTTCCTACAGTGTGCTTACAGTACGCTAGCATGCAGTGTGTCTCTGTGAAGCCCTGTTGAATCAGAGCTGAGTCCCATGACTCAGCATCTCTTAGAACACTGCAGCAGTCAGCACTCAGCCTCCAGCAGCTAGATCAATGTTACAAATGGAGACAGATGCTGGGATAGACACCACATCAGAGGTTATAATGCTTTAACTAGATTCTGATTCTGATTCTGGCGTTCTGGTTTGTAGTCAGAATAGTAATGACCAAACACGTTGGAGCAAATACAATCTGGGAACCCACCGGCTATCTTCTGATGATGATTTCGCTTTTTATTGGTTTGAAAATTAGCTTGTAAACTGGCTACTACGACAATCTGGTCGTGCCCCTCAACTCCAGTCTAGTGTCTAGTTGCTCATTGGACTGTAAACCACGAGCAGCGCACAGAAAATGAAGTCTTGGTCCTGTTCTGTTAGCTACACTAGAACCCCCAAAGCCCCTTGTCTCAGAGGCTTATCTGTCATCACACAGAGAGCAGATGGGTTCAGAGATCGAGTCTTCTTCAATACAGCATGATGTTCATTTGGTACATTTTGCTCCTATTTAGAGTCGAATAGACCATAAAGCAGGGGATGCTTTAGGGCGGGGCTACCCTGTGATTGACAGGGCGCTACCAGAGCGTGGTCTTTCATCGTACAATTGTAACCCTTCACAGTGTGTTTTCACTTCATGGTAGTTAATTGTAACATTTTGGTCGCCTTAAACGGGCTTATTCAGCGTTTGGTTTTACTTAGCTCCACCCTCTTCTGTCACTTCTGGTGGTTTCCAAAATGTTCCAAACTATGCAGAAAATCACACCCAAAAACTTCAATGCCTTTTGAGGACAACACTGCACCAGCTGGGTGAATGGTGCTTCAGTGTGCGACTGGTCCTGTTCTATAGATATTGTGGGGAATGGGTTATCGGGGGGGGACAGGTGTTAGACAGGAACAGCTGGGCTCATGTACAGCATGTCTGCTGAGAGAACCACTGATTCACTCTTAGATCAGGTTACTGACTGCTCACTGCACCAGCATTCAGCCAGCCTCACATTCTGCGGCAAACCACAACACTTTCAGGCCAGAGACACATTTGACTGGATCAAAGAGTGTCAGGGAGAACTGGGATTGTTTGACTGCAGGTTAGTAACAGATGCTACAGATACAATGGCTCAGCTGAGGAAGCAGCCGAAAAGGCTTTTTGAATTGAAGCAGAAGCTGCAATTGGATTTTTTTAAAGGAGCATTTAGACATGAAATACCCGATCGCTCCATTGTAACCAATACTGTCTTACAAAGCAAAATTCAGTTAAGACTGAATATCTGGAATGTAACATGTAATAACTGGATGTACCATCCTTACATTTACTCACAATGCACTTAGAGTAGAACCTGTGATAATCATAAATAGGAGAATAAGAGAAAGTTTTTCTTGTAATAAAACCTCACCGAGAGGAAAATCATATTGGAACTCACAAATATGTGACATTGAATAGCTGAAGTCGTGTCTGGGTCCCTTCAAATGCTCTGTTTCTAAGACCAAAAAGGTTCATATGAAAACTCTCTAATGTATTGGTGTCAAGTTTCACTGCATGTTCACTTTGCATTAGTGAACCGGAAACGCTGACGTGTTTGTTTTATAGTTGTTCACGTTCTATTCAGATATGGACGAATATGGAAATGTACATTTTAAGGAGAACTGGTCCACTTGCTAAAATGAGTCTTAAAGGTGTTATTGTTTATTTCAAAAGCATTATCAATTCATTTAATTTAATTACAAATCTCATGATGGTTTTTGGTAAATTTCAATCACAAATCTAAATTTGCGAAGTCGTTTTCTCAATAGATTTTTATTCTGTCTCTAAAACATCATTCAAACCAATTATTTGGTGATCTGTCTAATACATCATTTTAAAAAGCAGGTTATTATTCTTCATCTCCATAATGTTTATTTTAGTTTGTCTTTTGTTTCTCTTGACGATATGTGACGTCTATCTTTGTACTTACTTTTTTAATAAAGATAAAAAAAAATAAAAATAAACCATACAAGCCAACGTAAAAATGTAAACTTAAAATGCATTTTTAATACATTATAATGTAGATTATTTATCATATTGATTTGAGTTCTGCAAATAAATAAACTAACAGACAGACACAGACAACCAGCTGATTCCTGGCTGTCAATATGAATTCAATCATCTAATTACAAACTAATATGGAAGAGAAAACAGAAATAATAAATTTCATGTTACTGAACTACCACTGAAGGCACAGCGGGTATCTGCATTGATATCATGCAGGCCGTGGGTGAAATGATCAGACTAAAATAAGAAGATTAAGGCGTGGCAACAGTCCAGCTGTTACAGAACACTTTTAACCCATTCTTCACTCAGCTGGGTGGTTGGGGGATTTATTCTCTCACTGTTTTCTGTAGTCGTACATCTTTGTAGGGTGGAATATATGAACGACACATGGGAGCCTCCCACTGACAACAGGAGCTGTAGATGAATATGACAAACCTGGGTCAAACTAACTGCATTGGACTGCTGGAGCAAGAGCATTATGCCATATTTCTATAAGGCCATGTCAGATAGATACATATTTGGATTGTTAATATAATGCATACGTGCCCCGATTTTGAATAATACAGAAGGAGAAATACATCCCTGCATGGATTGCTCCTATCGTTTCCCATGCGTTCTGTGTCTTTAAGAGAGCTGTGTCTGTTTGGCTGCTCTCCAGAGAGTTGAGCCAGGAAGTCCATTTGATGCTAACTCAGCCAGACAGTCACCAGCAGGCTATGCAGCCACAGCCCCGCAGTGGGCATAATGGTCAGCGTGGTCCAGGGGAAGTCCACCCTCCAGGATATCATGTTATAGATATACAGCAGGGTCACAATGCTGCAGGCCCAGCTGGCCTTCTACTGTATATACGGTTAAGTCTATATCTCTGGACCTTTTACAGGTACTAACATAATATGTTGAGTGGAACCAACATGTGCTGCATAGTATGATGACATTATCATATCATGTTCATTACCCAAAATGTTCACAGCAGAAACACCGGCTGCCTCTAACGGGCCTGGGACTGCATTGCAGAGTTCCTGGCAGGCGGTGGCTTCCATCATTATAAAATACCAGCTAAAGGGGGCGGGATGAGGAAGTAACAGGGTTTCTGGGAAATGTGGTTTTAATTAGACAGAAGATTCAGAGAGAGGAAATGTATTCACACTTTGTGTCACGGGGTGTGGTGGAGGACTCAAATACAGACAAGACCAGAAGTAGAGTGAAGCAGGTATTTAATGAAGGATGAGATCAGAACAGGAAACTTACAGGAACACAACAGGGAACCCACGGACGAGACAAGAGATGAGGGGGGAGGATCCAGCAGGACGAGGCAGGACGAGCCAAACGGGCGGGTAGACATGGCAATGAGCTGGCAAGGAGTGACTGAGAGGCAGGGGTTTAAATAGTGGCTGATAGAGGCAGAGGAGGGGAGTTGTGCTGATGAGGAGGGAGGCTGACAGGTGCACTGAATGAGCTGATAGGTGAGTGATAAATAAAGAGACAGGAGAGAAGGGGCAGAGCTGTGACACTGAGTCAGCGTCTCTGTGAGTGTAGCTCAGTTAAATGCCCTGAGGCTCAGGCTGACTGTTTGTGTCTGTAGATGTGGAGGTCATCTGTAGATGTGGAGGTCATCTGTAGATGTGGAGGTCGTCGTCTTTTGGTTGTTGTTAGCATGCTGGTGCCATGGCTCTAGAGATGGCAATGTTTGTTGGTTGGTTGGTCTGTCCAACAGTCTGCATTGAAATATCTCATCAACTATGATGAATTTGGTGATCCCTTGACTTTCTGTGTAGCACCATCACCTGGTGAAAATGTGAATTAATTAAAGAACACTTAATATGCTGGTTTATGACCAAATATCGGCAAAACTAATTAACTCAAATGTAACGGATGAATTTTCTTGCATTGTATTAATTAAATGTATTATTTAATGTTCCGATATGTTTTCGATCCCTGGCTCCTCAAGTCGTTGGGCAAACCACTTAACCCCAAACTACTCAAGTAGGCCATCAGGGTATGAATGCATGAATGACATGTAGTATTTGGAAGACTAGAAAGGCGCTACACAAGTACAAGTCCATTTATAATTTACATCTGGTGTGAGGTAGAGGTTGCTATTTGTCTCAACAGAAGGAATGACAGCAAAGTATCAGCATTGTGGTACTTATATCTTTGTTATTGATGTTAGACTTAAATGTATGCCGACCAATGTAATTGTTTAATGTGTGCAGATTAAATGAACTATATTGATACGTTTTACCGACACATTCATTCTGCCAAGGAGTGCATAGGCCTACTATACGTTCAAAATCCTGAGCTGGTGCAGAGGAACCGCCTGTATATCGTGACTCTTTAGTGCTCAACAAATCATTGCAGTGTGCATAAACCTTAGAGAAAGAATCAATTAGGGCCTAACCATCAGGGTTATCACTTTTGATCAAACCCTCTCCTTTGAACGGCACGTCAATCACATCACAAGAACCGCCTTCTTTCATCTGAAGAACATCGCCCATCTCCGCCCTCCCTCTCCTCCACGCCTTCATCACCTCTCGACTGGACTACTGCAACAGCATCCTGTACATCCACCAAAATCATCAACAACCTACAATACATCCAGAACTCAGCTGCAGTCTGCTCTCCCACTCCACCAGGGACCACATCACCCCAGTCCTTCAGAACCTCCACTGGATCCCCACACAGCAAAGACTCCAGTTCAGGATTCTTCTCATCACATACAAAGCCCTTCATAACCCTGAACCCCTCCTTACCTTTATACCTCCTGCATCGACACGCTCCCAACCGCAACCTCAGATCCACAAAAGAAAAACAACCAAAAGCAAAGAAGCGTGTTCTGTTGTGTTATGCTGCCCCCTAGTGGCAACACTTGGAATTACTTTCACGTGGACAGCAGAGGCCTATGTTTGTTTACCCAACTAGTCACTTTTTTAGTGACAAAACTTGAATCTTTCATGGTATCTGTGGAGTTATGGAAGCATATTGGATCTAAACGTGCAATGATTTGTTCACTGTACAGCGAGAGCCACATATGATGCAGGTTTATGGAGCCAGATCCAGGCCAATAGTTTTGATCATCCCTGCTCATTGAGCTCCGTTAACCTCACAGGAAGCCTCCAGTGAGCATCTCCTCTGGCTCACAACACAGAGGAGGCTGTGAGCTTGTGCATCAGGACCACCTCTGTAATGTTGTCTGCAGTGTAGTTTATTCCGAGGCTCGTACACACACAGTTAACGCGGTCTTGCTGGCTGAATGTATAGCTATTGTACAGCCGCCAGGTGGCGTGGTTTTACCGTGAACCTCAATACATTTAGAATCATTAAATGAATCAAGACAATTTCACACAGCATCATGTTTTATTTGACTTCATTACAACATGGAGCATTTAGCTACAGTGTGTCATGGTCATCTACAGGAGTGTGCAGGACGTCCTTGGGCTCACTCCACCTCCCTCACTGGACCTGTTTCCTGCTCCACCCACCTCTCTGCCAGCTGTAAGATGGCACAGCCTTTATGCTGGAAATGACAACAAATACTGGTGATGAGGCATACAAGTGTTCAACTGACAAAGCTAAAGCTTAACCAGCCATTGCTGCAGGAAAATGTGAATATTCCTAAAACCTGCACCAGAAACAAAGAGTAGGCGCAGCTAGCTGAGAGAAAGCCGGCTGCATGAGAGGAAGCATCTGTTGCTGGTGATTGAGACGGAAGCACATGCTTTACTCACATTTAGTAGCATAACTAACTTTGTTGTGGCTTTAGCTTTATTCATAAAAGCTCCTCATGTTTTGTTCTTAAGTCAGATACAATTACCTCAGAAGAACAGTCCTTGAGTTAATGTACTTTACACCAGTGGTCTTTAGTGTGATGTAGTCTAACCAGATGGAGCTGCCAGCTTGTAAAGTTGACTTGTGCAGCCGTGTGAGGTAATGGGCTTAACCTATGCACACAATATTATATACAAAATAGTGGTAATATGTTACCTAGTGGGAGGACGTTTGTGTCAAAGTATCCCGCCATGTTCATGTTGCCAGCTGGCCGGTACTTCCCGACGACAAAGACCCTCTTGCCATCGGTGGCCATACCAACGCCCAGCTCAGTGCTGTCTTTCCACACCACCTGAGTAAAATGACCTGCAGGAGGAATCACAGTGTGGTGCTATAGATGCTGTCTGTCAATGTTGTATTAAATGCATAATTCATAGAACATAACTAAGTAGTAACTTCATTTCTTTCTATTCCTATGGCTTGATTTGTATATGATGCATATTTTAGGGATGCAGATGTAACATGAACTTTGTTATTGACATTTCAGACATGAATTTCAGTTTATGAATTTACCAGTAACATTACTGAATCCAGGGTTGCTCCAACTGTAATACTTCATCTCATTATACCACAAATCTACAGCTTCTTTCCCTAAAATGTGAGAAAGAGAAAAAAAATGTACAGAATGAACATAATATCAACATTTGAATTGGTGGTTGAAGTTTGAGTTCCTCATAATAATTCATCTTGTATTTATAAGTGGAGAACGGTTCTTTTTTAAAAGTTACAGTCTCACCATAGCAGGGGAACAAATATACCAATCAGCAATAAGTTGCACCTTTAGATTGAATAAATGACATGATAAAAGGATGGCAAAGAAAGGGGTTGGGTCTATATCCACCTGTCAGATGAATGGGTGCTGAGCTGCTCATGTTGAAGATGTTCTCTCCGTCCTTAGTGACACTGTGCTGCAGGGCGCCGATCGCCAGCAGGTGTTCGGCCCATTTCTGAGCTGCAGCAGTCAGCTCGCTGCTGAGGCTCATCGGTGGCGTGCTGTGCTTTGCCCTGTAGGCGTTGTGGGTTTCTAGGAACTCCCTCTGAAAGCTTTTATCTGTAAATAAAAAAAGACATTATTAATTGATGAGCTTTAAGTGCTTATGAGGCTGGCATCTCTCAACATCGTGGGTGCAGACAGGATGAATCCTGTCTTGTAATAAGAGACGCATCTCACAATGATCACGTCTTGTGTGTGAACAAACCATGCACTAACCTGCCATTGTGTCGGGGTTATGAATGCTGAAATGACATAAGAACACAGATATAAATGATTCACAAAAATACACTCAATACACTAAATAATCAATACAATCTTTTAAATGATTACAAGTTTAGTTACAAACATTTTATAAAGCAGGTATTACCTATCAACAGTAAATAACCGGCAGAAGCAGTGATCTCTGGCACTCACCTGGTTCAGGGTGTGGAGGATGTCCTGCACAGTTCTTTTGCTGTCTGTATTTATATGAGCCGATCCTCTCCCTCCTCTTCTATATGTAGAAGACACCCAGCCTGTGAGTATCTCACTGTGCCATTCATCCTTGATGAGAAGGACTTCAGCTGCCCATATTGTTTTGCAGGATATTCCACATTCTTTACATGCAGATAAGTTTCGAGGTACTTGATGAGATACAGAGAGTTTCTGTCTGTGTTCTCTCCCCAATCAATGGTTTTCCAGATATACGATGTGATAATAAGAAGAAGTTTTCGTCTTAATCCAGATAATAACCAGATGCATTGCTCAGTCTGGGTTACCATCCGGTAGCTGTCTTGTTTGTCAGAGTGCAGATGAGCTGCTGTCAAACTGGTTGTGGTAAACTGTCATCTAGTAAAGCACAGGTTGCTTCCTGTTGTCTACAGTTAACAGGTCGAGGCCTGAATCAAACACTGACAAACGGAGGACTTCAAACGCATGTGGATCTCATTAGTTCACTATTAAACACTTTACTCCTATAGACCCCATGGTTATGTTTACCACAAATCCAACAAATGCAAACAACATAACGTTTATTCTTAGATCATAAAACAGTTATAAGCATTTGCGACTGTGGCTCAGTGTTAGAGCTGGTCGTCCTTTAATCAGAGAACTGGCGGTTCGATCCCCAGCTCTGTGTTTGAATGGGTATGAATGTTAGATAGGTCGGACGGGCAGGTGGCACCTCGCATGGTATCCTGATGAGTGTGAATGTAGTTTGAGTGGTCGGGAGACTAGAAAAGAACTATACAGTTTACCAACCGCCACTTATTAGAAACTTGTTAAGCGTTTATATGAGCTCCTTATACAGTAATTGTTGATACTAGCATTACAAACATATCTATTGAGTACATTTTGCATGATGAAGGATCATTGATCACTGTGTATAGAGTTCTGAGAATATGAGGTATGCTTTCAGAAAACGTGTGTAAACAATTGTAAAAAACCTCTTTAACAGGAAGTTAGCATCTCACTGGTTCACTCGACAATCATTGGATTTTGGGTTGTTGCAGAAAATAAGCTCTGTGGTGACCAAATATTCATAATACTTATGCGTCTTGTTCAGCAAAATAATCTTCCCAAATGAACACCATTTCATGATTTTTGAAACGTGACTACAATGGGCAGAAGTAACAACAACAGTCATGACATGACTTCACCACAAAGCTAAAGGTGGATGAGTGTGTTGGTGATGACATCATGTTGCTACCTGATGAAGGCCGATGCCCTGAAACGTTGTCACTAAATATCTCTGAACGCAAGTGAAGAACACAGTGTGCTGGAGTGTTCTATAGAACCAAATGTTAAAATATCTTTGCTTATGTTAACCAGAACCAGAATCAGAATCAGAATCAGAATGAGCTTTATTTGACTCCGGTTACACATAACTCTCATCGTACATACACACACATGAAATATATACAATAAACAAGAGAAATATAAGAAAAACAAGGACATTTAACAGCTATATACAATATAAGTATGAATATATCCCCCCCCAAAAAAGTGTATATATATATATATATATTTTGGGAACGTAAAGGAGCGTGTTTGGTTATCAGCAAATATGAAACTAAATTATCAACATCAATGGAGTTATTAATATCAATAAGTTAATTAGTAATTACTAATAAGAACGGGGCACCACCCTGCGGACAGGGACCAATAACCAAACTATAAACTAAGTCTCATAATTAGTGGTCACTCACGATATTAACAGTCTGTGTGTGTGTGTGTGTGTGTGTGTGTGTGTGTGTGCGTGTGTGTGTGTGTGTGTGTGTGTGTGTGTGGAAAGAAAAGGGGGGGGCTACTCAACAGTGATGGTGGGTAATCTCAATAGGGGCGTGTGAGCCTACAGACCAAGATGGCGGAGTCTAGAGACCGGCGACAAAATGGCGGAGAGGTGGCTACTATAACCACGTGGGACGGTGTACCATGTGGGTTGGGGTCAGAGATTACGTAATCACGAGTCTGAGAGGTTCACCCAAAATCAGTAGCTCTAACTACGTGTGTGTGCGGGTTAGTAGAGGGAGAGAGAGAGAGAGAGAAAATCGAGCTCTGAGCGCGGTGCTCTGCGCAGTAGTGAGGAAGTGAGGATCAGCACGCTTTTACGGTGATAGTTACGGTTCTAGATCTCACTCGCAGAGCCGATTTAAAGAGGAGAGAATAAAACCAAAAACAAAATAAAAGAATCCCCAAAACAAACAGATCTTTGTCACTGCGGTGAAATGCGAGTTTGTCTCCCTATCACCCCGAAACTCGGTCGGACAGACGAGAGTCGGCCACCGTAGTTTTAGTTTTTAAAGTGATAGAATCACAAGCTCCACATCCACTAGCAGCGACGGATCACATGCGAACGGTTACAGCAGGAAATACACAATATAACGGGACTCCGTGGTCCGCGATGCTTGCGTAATAACACGTTATAACACGACAGTAACTTAACACAACAAGATACAGGAATAACAACGACATAAACGAACAGTCTAAATTAAGCTAATGCTAAGTTAAGCTAGGCCCAGATACCAGTAACTCTTACTTTGAGAAGCTTCGTTCGGCAGGGTCCTTTTCCCGTGGTGGGAATCATTCAGTCCTCGGGAGATGAGGGGTCCCGGTGGCGCGGCTATTGGAGCTAGCGCAGACTCAATCCCTCTCAAGAGAGGGGTTTTCTTAACGCCGGAGGCGTGCGGGAGTCGCTCGTCTTTGGCCGGAAATCTTCGGCTCTTCAGGGGCTCAGTTGCCCTCTTTTGCCGGCAAGGTGTGCACTAAAGGGTGGGAGGACGGGTCGTAGAGATTATCCGTTCTCGCACTACGGGATCCAAAACTCAAAATAAAACACAGTCTGTAGTTTCGACCAGCGAATGTGATATGTGACCTGATAGGATTTGATGAGGCCGCGGCTCCTCGTGAATCTTCTTGTTGCCAGGACGAGGTCCGGAGGGAAGAGAGAGAATGGTGTTTCCTGCTCGCTTATAAACCAGGTCTCGAACCCAGTGGGGGGCCACTTCTTGGCCAATGAGGGGCCAGGATCAAGTTTTGGCTGTGCTGGGAGGTGTAGTCATTCATCTTGGAGTTTCCATCAGACGTTGTATGACAGGAAGGAGCATGGGTGCTTCTAGACTAGGGCCAGATCCCAACATATATATATATATATATATATATAATACAATAGTGCAAACAGAGGTAGTAGTGCAGTCCATCCATCCATCAATTTTCCTCCGCTTATCCGGGGTCAGGTCGCGGTGGCAGCAGGCCAAGCAGGCTGACCCAGACCTCCCTCTCACCGGCAACATGTTCCAGCTCATTCTGGGGGATCCCGAGTTCCCTCTTGATGTCCGAGCTCCTTACTCTATCTCTAAGGCTGAGCCCGGCCACCCTACAGAGGAAACTCATTTCGGTCGCTTGTAGCCGCGACCTTGTCCTTTCGGTCATGACCCAGAGTTCGTGACCATAGGTGAGGGTAGGAACGTAGACCGACCGGTAAATTGAGAGCTTTGCCTTCCGGCTCAGCTCCCTCTTCACCAAGACGGTTCGGTGCAGCGCCTGCTTTACTGCTGCAGCCGCACCGATCCGTCTGTCGATCTCCCGCTCCATCTTACCCTCATTCGTGAACAAGACCCTGAGATACTTGAACTCCTTCGCTTGAGGTAGGCACTCCGTTCCCACCTGGAGGGAGAAATCCACCGGTTTCCGGCAGAGCACCATGGCCTCAGATTTGGAGGTGCTAACTCTCATCCCCGCCGCTTCACACTCGACTGCAAACCGCCCCAGTGAATGTTGGAGGTCAAGAACCGAGGAGCCTAACAGGACCACATCATCTGCAAACAGCAGAGAGGCGATCCCAAGACCCCCGAACTTGACGTTCTCCGCCCCCAGGCTGCGCCTAGATATCCTGTCCATGAAAGTCACGAACAGGACCGGTGACAAAGGGCAGCCCTGGTGGAGGCCAACACCCACTGGGAACGTGTCTGACTTATTGCTGAGAATGCGGACACAGCTCCTACTGCAGTCGTACAGAGACCGGATCAGCCGTTGTAACGGGTCCAGATCTGAGGTTCGACAAACGGTCGGAGCCTCCTTTTCAGCACCCTGGCATAAGCCTTCCCCGGGAGGCTGAGTAGTGTGATACCCCGGTAATTCGAGCACAGTCTCCGGTCCCCCTTTTTGAAGATGGAAACCACCACCCCGGTCTGCCAGTCCATGGGCACTGATCCCGACCCCCATGCGACAGTGAAGAGACGTGTCAGCCAGGACAGCCCAACCATGTCCAGCGCCTTCAGCATCTCAGGGCGGATCTCATCCACCCCCGGCGCCTTGCCACCAAGGAGGATTTTAACTACCTTAGCGGCCTCTGCCAGGGATATGGGTGGGCCCCCTCCTAGGTCTTCAGGCGCTGCCTCCTCTGCAGAGGACATGTTGGTCGGGTTTAGGAGTTCCTCAAAGTGCTCTTTCCACCGCCGACGATGTCCCCCGTCCGGGTCAGCAGTTCCCCCCCCCCGCTGAGAACAGCCTGGGGTAAGCCTGGCTTTCCCTTCCTGAGCCGTCAGATGGTTTGCCAGAACCTCCTTGAGGCCAACCAAAAGTCCTTCTCCATGGCCTCCCCGAACTCCTCCCATGCCCGAGATTTAGCATCCGCGACTACCGCAGCTGCAGCCCTTCTGGCCTGTCGGTACCTTTCAGCTGCTTCAGGAGACCCCTGGGCCAACCAGGCCTTGAAGGTCTCCTTCTTCAACTTGACGGCTTCCCTCACCTCCGGTGTCCACCACCGGGTTCTCGGGTTGCCGCCACGACAGGCACCGATGACCTTCCGGCCACAGCTCCTAGCGGCCGCGTCCACAATAGAGGCTTTGAACATGGTCCATTTGGATTCCATGTCCCCAACCTCCCTCGGGATGTGTGAGAGGTTCTTCCGGAGGTGGGAGTTAAAGACCTCCCGGACAGGGTCCTCCGCCAGACGTTCCCAGTTCACCCTCACTACACGTTTGGGCTTGCCTGGT